GCTTTTTTGATTTTGATACAGGTATATTTATTGAATCAGACAGAATATTATTTGGTGAGATATTACCTGGTTCTTGCAATTGAATTTTTATATACTGTTTTGTTAGTAATAAGAACAATCGAAAGATAAACATTATCATATATACCTTTTACTTCTTTTTGTATTTCTTCTCCAATATTTTTTCTCAATGCAGCTACTAATTCACATTTATTCTCTTTATCTTCATAACCAATTTTTCATTTTTTAACTCCGTTTTGATATCTGTTTTGGACCATCTGTTTGGATCTAATACTAAAAGTAGGAAAGTGAGTTTAGAAATAAGCAAAGTAAATATAAATTTTAGTTTTATATACTTTTGTTACTGGGCAATGGAATAGTCCATTCAGAACTTGGTTTAGTATGATCTGAAATCTTTGAACTTGGTTTTGTAAATTCTTGATTGTTCATAGTTTTTTTAATATCAATGGGGGAAAAGATATTCCAAGAACCAAAATTAGGTAAAGAGCGTACGCAGATATAACCAGATAATTCACTGCTTGTTAGCCAAACAAAATGCAACCAATTTGTAATGCCTTCCAAGGTAGATATTATTTTTTTGCTTTTTTTGGTCGTTCACTAGGGTTAATATTTGCAACAGATGTTTCTTTTATATTCCTGATTGTATCTACTATATTATTTTCATTTTGAATATTATATCCAGATGAACATGGCGTTTTATGGAGTGTGCAATCTAATCATTTTAAATTTATTGAATAGATAGTTTATAAAAATAGTGAATAACTTAGCATTTACTATGATCAAGCTTATTATTTTGTAGTAATTATATCTCTCTCAAATAACTTTATCTAACAAATAACAATCAAACTAAAACGTATGAGTTATTTTGGTGCTTTAGTCATTATAAGTAACAAATAGCAAATTATTTTTTAGAGAAATAATTGCTAAGTGATTCTATGGGATCATATATCGTAGTAATTACTTTTTTAAAAATTTCTGTAACTAAATATTACCTGTGCATGATGGGAATTCACTGTAGTTTTTGCTTCACCAGGTTCTAAAAAAATCCATGATTTTACTTCTATATCGTACCATTTGAACCATTGACTATTATTATCATTAGTTCTTTGTTATGATAGTGTGGGCCATTATCCGAAAGAATTTCTATCCAGGAAGGTTTTTTCTCTATTGTAGAAAACAAGGCATCAAAAGAAGACGCAGTGAACCACACGTCTTGTATTGGATCAGCTGACCAATGGTCCAAAACTTCAACATTTAATAAGATAGAATCATTAGTTTTTTTGTATATACCAGTAATGTATGTAATGTATATCCTTTTTTTTCAAAAAAATCCGATTTACTTCTCGTGCTGACGGGTAAAATTTTCATTTTATAGTCAGCTATGATAACAGCACCATTTTCATCTAAACGGAGTAATGTTGCATTAAACTGTGCATTAAGATAAGTTTTTCTAGCTTGGTGAGCCCAGTAATATTGTAATTTGGCATGATTCTCGATTATTTTTTTTTTTTCATTAGGAAGGATTTGTAAAATTTGCTGAAAAATTAAATCAACTTTGTTACATTTATCGCAATGTTTCGAATGTTCTTTGTTACCGTTTCCAAATGCAAATTTTAAACAATGTTCATTATAATCATTATGTTAAACATGCCCCAATGTATTTATCATCAATTCTTTTTCATATTCTCATTTTAAATGACATTGAGTTACTTCTAGTTGAGCTATTAATTCATTCTAATTACAATATTTAGATTCAAATTTAAAATTAACATTAATTATATTTTTTTATAAAGTATTATAGTGAACCTGAGTATTTTTTTGCTCAATTTTTTCACGAACTAGTGTAATCATATCTTTAAAAACACCAAATCCATATTCATTACAGATCAAGCATAGTCCACCAAGATCATCACGATAAACGAATTTGCTGTTTTCTAAGCGGGTCATAAAAGCTGTCCGCTTCATTCCATTTGGATGCAATTCAAAAAATTGGTGCTATAACGATTCTTTAGTATCTTTTAAATACATTACGGGCAAGCCAGTTGCTGCATCAACTTTATAGAAACTTGGTGTTGCAATATTTTTGTCAAATAAAAATGTCATAAGTTGATTCAGCAATTCTTCTGATAAGTGTACTCTAGTAATTGTTGGCTTGCATAGTGCAGGGCAACCAGGACCATTAGTGGTAGCATATAATCGGGCACTAGATACGGTCTTTGAAGAAATCTGGCATAATATATTTATTTTATTTTTTATTTTTTTTTTGTATGTTTTATTTTAAAATAATGTATATTAACACCAAGTTTTTTTTCCAACTCAGCATAGGTAAACTCTTTTGCAATTATTGATAGAATTCAAGTACATCCATCTTGTCCTTTTTTGTTTGCATTTATACGTATTTTTGAAGCATTCCCATAATTGATCACTCGTATTATCTGATGGTAATGTCAAAAATCCTTAAGAATATAATTGAGCAAGTGTATATTGGTCTTGTAATGCATTTAATAAATGGCTCCAAAATTGGACCTTTTTTTTTTTAATAAGAAAAAATTACACATATTTTTATTAAAAACAATTTGCTATAAGCATTATCAATCTAATTTCAATTTATCTTAGATTTATTATTTGTGAATAGAGTTATTTCATGACAACCGGCTGCTTTAAGTAGTGCTCTCCATGCTCGAAGTTCACGGTCTTTAAAAATATATTGCTGAGGATAAAGTAATACTATAGAATTATGAAATTCAATTATTGTACTTGAACTATTTTTCCAATCAATAAAAAATTTATGCCATTGAATATTAGATATAGTGTGGCGATGAAAGAAATGATTATAAAGATGATTTATAATATTTTTGTTATGCCAATAAGTTTCATCACATTTAGGAATCTGTTGTGCTAACAGAGCTTGATGTGTTAATGGATGTTCTAATCCAAAAAGTTCAGTTCCACGAAATTTTTTTAGTTTTTTAGATGCTTTCTAAACTTTATTTGGGGTCATACCAGTATAATGATATTTAGAAACACCATCTTGATAAATTTTTATATAACATCCATCTAGATCAATTCGTTGAATATATATTGCATATTTTCCTGAATTTTCACCAGTAAACATTGCTGTGTATCCAACTCCAGCCTCAACTTCATCAGCATTACCGGTACTAGGACATTCCAAAGCAGTTATATATATATTATATTTGTCAATTTTTATTAAAAATAGACGAAATTCAATATCAGTTAGTGATTGTTCTAACATATAAGGATCATCCCAATCTAAAACTTGTGGGCCAGAAAAATTTGTATTATTATTTTGACAGACATGTCTGTATAAAGATGTAATTGCGGGACTAGATGCCTCTTCAATATCACTAAATTTTAGTCCAACTTGACACCTATAGCTAGGATAATGTTCATGTTTTTCATTGCCTTCTAAAACTTGAGTATAAAAGTTTTTATTGTTTATTTCCAAAACAGTCTACCACCCAACACATA